TCATAAAAATATAGGGTCACATGTGAGAATATGTTTAATTTACTGGAGAGATTTTGTTAAACAATCTAGGAATATTGATCTTCATAATTGAATTGCGTGGTTAAATTGAAGGTTAGGTTAAAGGGGATTGATATAAAGGGATTTGTGATCTTACTACATTTTTCATCAATAGATATTCATCAAATTTGCATTAATCACATCTCTACATCGATTTTAGTTAATTGGATCTTGCCTTCATAATTAGACTATTAAATCACAAGTTAGTTATAAAAAATTCACAAGTCTCCATTGTTTCGATTAAAGCTTAGTTTATTTGAATTTGAAAGAATACAATCTCTATGAGTACGATACTTGGACTCAAAAACCATTTCACTCCTTGCTAACGAACCGTGCACTTTCGATAATTTTAAATCGAAAAGATTTTAAGTGTATTTTGTACACTTATCTAGGTCATTAAATTAGGATATTTTGTATTACTTTTGATAAATTATACCTTGATCTCATTTATTTATTGTTTGTTAGGTGAACTCAGTGATTAAATGAAATGGGAAGAAATGAAACAAAAATGGAACGAAATCCAATGTTTGGGAAGCAAAGTGTAAATATGTAGTAGTTCAACCGAACAACAAAATAATTATTGAAGATCACATAAGATCAATTGGATCCAATTAGAAGTCAAATGAGTGAAATATAATCAAAATATTTTTAGAAATCAATTTCTAGTCACATAAGTTATGCTTCATATTTTGATCTTTAGATTAAGACATTATAGCATATTGGACGTTTGAATTGGAAATATTATATTTCTAGAAGAAAATTAGCTTTTTGATTTAGCTTTTCAATATACTTCGAATCGACTCAATCAAATATAAGGAGAAAAAAATATGACAAAAATATTGACGGTTGTTTAAAGGAAAGATCGTGCGAGCAAAGATTTGAACCATGTGCTTGAGATCCATCCTTTCACACAACACGATGTCAAAATTGGTCTTCCATGCGTGAACAACTCCAATTCATGGGAAAATTCTAGATAGACGGGAATTAGTTTCCTTATTTCAATACAACTCTTTTGAAAACCAATTGTGGGAGCAATTCTTGACCTAATTTTACCACCTATAAGTACAAGACAAGGGAAAAACATTGAGGCATCTCTCTCTCACCTCTCAAATCTATATATATCAAGAAATGAGGGTAAATTCAATATAAGTTGGAAAGGAGAACAAATCTAGAACGTGGATTGAATCAAGAAGCATCAAGAAGGTGAAGAATCAGGGATTGGGATTGAAGATCAAGAACAAGAAATGGCATCCATATATTTCTTGTATCCATATAAATTTTGAGGATGCTTTCTAATTCTTGTTGTTGTTAGAAACATGTTAGGCTAGATTTTCTTTGTGTTTGGATAAAGATGAATCTTATTATTATTTATATTTAATTCAAAGACGAATAGTAAATTTATTTCTTGATTGATCTTGTATGTTTTGTCGAATTATTTAATTGCTTGATCACCAATTAGATAATTAGTTTCTTATTCCAGTATTGGGAACTAACAATAGATTTAGAACACTGCAATTTCAATAGAAGGGTAATAGATGTTAGGAATAGCATGTATGACATGTGCAGTCATACAAATAATCGTGCAACTGAATGTTTTACTTTGCATATGAATTCAGATTAGGAATAAATCGAGTCGTGATTAGAATAAGTTCGACTTATCTCGGGAGAGATAGTTAAATAAAATTGAATTATTGATTGTCATGTATACACAAATCACACTAAAGTACATAGGTCGAGAATTGAAAATAGAATATTGATAGGTGGATTTGGAATTCCATCACATCCATCTTATATTTTAGTTAGAAATAGTTAATAAGTAGCTTAATTTAGATATAAAACATAATCCTCTTTTGTTTAACAACATTTGAATTTGATAACAGATTGTTGTAATTCAATTTAATTATTTCTTGTGGGACAATACTCTTAACTTATTACATTATTACTTATCCACGATCTCGTACACCTGTGAGAATTTGTTCGAACAATGGACAATAGGCTTTGGCGGTTACCGTATGTGGTAACCATTGCTTGTCGCTAGAATATATGAATTATTTTCTTATTAACTCTAATATCATCGTGGTTTGTCTATTTCATAGTTTTGTGATTCCTATTGCTATCGCGTTGATTATTTTGTTAGAATTATCACCTAGAGTTTACATGTTCAACAATTCCCTAGATCTGAGAGCATGAAATTCTAAGAATTTAGAACAGTGTATATTGAGGCCTTTAGGATTCTCCGTGTGATTATCTTTGAGATGCTTGTAGATGTGCTTCTTATTTTGTTGAGATGTCTACATATCATTTTTTACTTGAGAGTCTTTAATATAAAAGATGATTTTCCAATTTGGGTAACAAAAAATGGAAGGTTTTTTGGTACAACAAAAGGTGTCAAAAGCCATTAATAGTTCTTTTTTCGACTACTGTGAATGAGGAACAGAAAAAGAAATACGATGAACTTTCATATACTTCTATCATCTTGCGTTCATATATATATATATATATATACACACACACATGGCAATCGAATATAGATGGGACATTTACACCCAAAATTGTCATTGATTCCTTAAAAGGCGAGGAGATGGAGATAAAAGTTGAGTGAGTTCAGAGAAAAACATGGAAAGAATTACATAATGAAAGGTAGACTTCATTAGAGGAGTGGATGTGGAGGTGGCATTATAGTAGTGGCAAGAAGAAAGGAGAAGTTGTCTAAGTCACAGGGAAAGGCAAAAGGTGTGGGCAACTGAGACATTTCATTAATATTATTATAAGGAGAAAAATAAATTGAGAGTTCAAAGAAGAAAATACTACTTTGAGGCAAATGTAGTGGCATCCAAAAACAAGCCTAGTAAGGTGTACATGCTTCTAGATTCCGAGCCTTGTGAGATTAACTTGTCTGTGAACTCCCATATTGATAAATAGATTCTTTACTCCAATGCTTCTTTTCATGTTACAACTAATAAATATTAGTTTGATCACTTGCATGAATATGATCATAGATATGTTATTGGTGTTTATGTTGGTGATGTGACTGTTAAATTTGACACTGACTTTGTGCATACATTAAGGAATGTTAGGTACATCCTACATATATGTAGAAACTTTAATTCTGTAGGGGAGTTAGGAAGAACATGTTTTACTTGTGAAGGATAAATAATTGCATGATTAAGATGTTTAAGGGCACACTTAGAGCCTTTAAAGCTATCAAGAAAAATGACATTTACATTACGCATGTTGAAGTTGTAGGTGGTCTAAGTTTGACTATTGATTCTATTGACATTAATAACACACGGAAGAAGAACAATAGGCTATCTCATGTTAGTGTTATGGGACTTAAGTTCCTCAATGTTAATGGTGTGTTTGGTAAGGATCAAGTGTATACATGTCCTTTTGTGATCATTGTCTGCTTGAAATATGTTGTAGGACGTCATTTTCATCTAGTATACACAAGACATTTAAAGTGTTAGAATGCATTCATACTAATATGTTAATCTTGAGAGCAATCTTACTTTTGATGGTAACAAATATTTCCTATCCATTATTAATGATATCTCCAAATGTTTGTGGGTCTATTTGTTGAAAGATAAATTTGAAAAGTTTAGGTGGAAAACCAGACAAGTAAAATGGTGAAATATTTTAAACCTTATAGTGGTTTGGGATTTATAATGCTAATTTCTATAGTTTGTGTAATGATTGTGTCATTACTAGACATAAGACTGTGGCTTACACTCTCTAGCAAAATAGGATTGCTGAAAGGATGAATCATACTTTGCTTAGTAAAGTTAGATGTATAATGTTGAGTTCTGATGTGCCCAAATATTTTTACGGTGAAGCTGTTATGATTGCATGCTGTCTAAATAATATGACTCCTTCTGTAGCTTTAACCTCCTTATAAAAAGTTCTATGGTAAATATGCTGATTATTCCATAGTTAAAACTTTTGATTGTGTTGCATTTTTTCATCACGATAAGTGAAAGATTGAAACTATAGCTAGAAAATTTGTGTTTCCAGGCTACTTTAAGGGAGTCCATGGGTATAGGTTGTGGGATAGAAGTAAAAAAGGTGTAACGATAATCATTAGCAGGGATGTTACCTTTAATGAATCAGATATACCTTACTTAGAGCGTGAAAAACAATAAGAGATCACAAGGGATAATATCCAGTTGAAGTGGAGAGGGTGACCATTCACATTCCCATTTCCATAGTTAAAACTTTTGATTGTGTTGCATTTTTTCATCACGATAAGTGAAAGATTGAAACTATAGCTAGAAAATTTGTGTTTCAAGGCTACTTTAAGGGAGTCCATGGGTATAGGTTGTGGGATAGAAGTAAAAAAGGTGTAACGATAATCATTAGCAGGGATGTTACCTTTAATGAATCAGATATACCTTACTTAGAGGGTGAAAAACAATAAGAGATCACAAGGGATAATATCCAGTTGAAGTGGAGAGGGTGACCATTCACATTCCCATTCCCATCACCCTGAGTGAGGTGGAGAATAATCCAAATTGAAATTACCAAGGTGTAGAAATAGAAAGAGAAAACGATGTGGTTGAAGAACGTCCTATTGACCATAATCCTTTGGCTGACTACCAATTAGCTAGAGATAGAGAGAAAATACTACGTGGGGAACCTTAAAGGATGTCTAACTACACCACAATCTATGCTAGTTAGCAAGAACTAGTTAAAAATGAGCTAAATGCTTATGATGAGGCTATGAAGAGTCACTAGTCTAACGAATGGATGAGTTCTATGAGAGACGAGATGAATTCTCTTGGTAAGAATCAAACTTTGGAATTAGTGCCAAAACCTAAAGATAAACCCATGGTGAGATGTAAATGGGTTTACAAGGTGAAGAAGGGAATCACTAAGATTGAGCCTTTGAGATATAAGGCTAGGTGGGTAGCCAAAGAATATACAAAGAAGGGGTAGATTATAACAAGTTTTTTTACTTGTTGTTATGTATATCACTATTAGAGTCATACCTACGGTTGTTGTTCATTATGACTGGAAACTTAAACAACTTAATGTGAAACCAACCTTTTTGCATGGGGACCTCAATGAAAAGATTTTCATGTATCAACCCAAAGGTTTTGAAAATAAAAACAAACCTAATCTCAAAAAATCTCTATATGGTTTAAAACAGTCTCCTAGACAATTATACAAGAAGTATGATTCTTATGTATTGTCTATTGGTTTCAAGAGGAGTGGGTTGTTTGGATTTGGTCTTTGATCCTATTTGTGGTGTTGAGAGTGGCTTATGATTTAAGCCCCTAATTTACACCACCATTAAGGAGCATATTGGAGATTTCAATTTATCAATTGGTTTCTTCAATTCCTTGTTATTTGCTTTCCAATTATTGTTTTAACTTTGAATTTATTTATGATTTTGCAAGGTTGATTCTTACAATACCAACTTATAGGCAGCTGGATCTCAAAATAAGATGGGTGATAGAAAATTTCGGTAGACTTAAATTTGGCAGAGTTGAACAATTCCAAGGGAAGAGAGGCAAGTCTAATATCAGGTCTGATTTCTTCCCACTGCCGTCGTCATCAGTATTGAGAAGTTCTTATCTTACGGATAGGAAATCAATTTCAAGTCTAATATATCCACGGTACGATCAACAGTGAAACAAAATGAATTCGATGAAGTACATTATTTGGGATTTTTAAGAAATTGTAGAAGGTTCAACGTTGCAATCACCATAGCCAGATCTCTGCTTATTGTTGTTTGGAATCCACACATCTTTTGCAAGGTAAAGTTTATACATTATTGCTAGACATTATAGATAATTTTCATAAGAAAATATAATTAACTAATTTGTAGCATATACAGCCATTATCTTCCTGATATTGCCACTTTCTTATTTAGGCAATTTCATATTATATGTTCATTCATATGCTAATTTTCATGGATTTCTGGAATTTTGTAGGATCCATTCTGGAACAAGCTCCTACGGTATTGTGTGGATAATGGCTCATTTAAGGGTAGCTTTCTTCCTGAAAGGCAGGAATTCATTGAAAAATAGTCTGGAGAGGAACATTATTCAGGCTATGAAGTGGAAATTTATTATCAGCCATCTGAGTTGGGTTGAGGGTGATGAAGAAAATAATTATAAGCCATCATCCGTGTCATGGGGCGAGCCAGAAAACAGATTCAAGCCCACTAATAGCCAGTGTGGTGAGGCAGAAAACAACATAGAGCCCTTGGAAGTGCAGTGGGGGTGACACAAATAATAGTTATAAGTCCCCTGATGTGCAGTGGGGTGAGCTAGAAAATGAGTTTAAGCCCTCTAATTTCCAGTCTGGTGAGGGAAAACAGCTTTAAGCCCTTGGAAGCACATTGGGGTGAGGCAGAGAGCAGTTATGAGACCTCGGATGTGCAGTGTGTGAGGCAGAAAACAACTTTTAAGCCCTTAAGCTCTGCTACCTGTACGTATTCATCTGTCAAACTACCTCTACTGATGATCTATACAAGTAGAATAATTGTAAGCCCTTGAATGTGCAGTAGTGTGAGTCAGAAAACAGTTTTAAGCACTCTGAGGTGTCGTGGGATAAAACAAAAATAATTTAAAGCCTTCTGATGTGACGTGGGATGACTTATAAAATAATTACTGGCCATCTGATGTGTGTAGGATGATAGTTACCAATTATTCTTGAAAGCTGAATATCCAGATGGTTGAAAATGACTAGTTTGATGACATAAGTTTGTAGTTGAAGTATTTCCCATACAGTCGCTTATTTTTTCAAGAATTTTACTCTTAGCAACTTCGATATTCAAAGCAAGACGTTTTCTAAACTGATATACAGTGTTCAAATCACTTGTTTTATTTACTCTGTTATGGAGTTTTGGCAATGTTTTTGGCGAGGGCATTTCATACAGACTAGAATATGCTGCCTATTGATGAATCATAGGGTGTTAGTACAAGCAATTGTAAACAAGGAATGCTATGATTACAGGGAAAGTTGGAGTAGGAATCCTTTTAGTGGCAGATGAAATTCTTGCTGGTATGGTTGAATTCCTATGCTGAATCGGTAACTCGTTAGAAGGCCTTGGTGCGACTGAAGCATTGCTAGAGTCTTGAGCTGAGCCCATCAAAGAGGGTGCAGGACTACCAGCACCTACAAGTAGCAATGGAAATTTCGTTGGTGTTATATGTGCTGAAATTTTGATATTGTTTACTAAGTTTCATTTTGTTTCAATTTTGTTTCAAGACTCCTTTCAAGTTGATGTGGCATTAAACTAACAAATCTTCATTTTTGTTTCAAGATCATTCAAGTGCACGGAATGGACATGGCCTCAAACTAACAAACACGTATGGTCAACCGCAGTTAAATTCCATGACTATATTTGTAATAATGTAATTTAATGACTAACTAGAAATAAAATGGAGTGTGGTAATCAACATGAAATTTTACTAAAAGTTTAGCGACTACAATTGTTTTCAACCTGAATGCAATAACAATAACGTTAAACGAAGTTCTATTTTGAAAAAAATTGGGATTGACTACAATATGAAATCCTTTTTAGTAACTCCATTTAATCTGAACAATAAAAATCCAATTAGAGATTTTAAGTTAATCCTTTGATAACTCGTGCTACGTTTTCCAAGCTACCGGCTAATCATAAAGTTACAATTTTCCCTTTTTCTTTAGTTTTTATGAACTGGAGAATAACACTAGTTTACTACAAATATATTCCAAAGAGAAATTATATTATAACCTCATGAAATGGAAGTATAAATGCTTTAGCACGATTATAAATATTGAAGAAGATTGCTACGTTGCAGATATTTACCAGAGTTGTTTGGCTGGGAACGGTGTGGATCTGCAGTATAAAACTGCTACATGATCAATAAATAATTAAAAGCCTCTTGAACTATGCGTAAAAGTTACTTCATAGAAAATAACTTAAGACTTACTTTCTAGAAAAGTAAGTTTTCTTAATTAAAAAATAAAAAAATGTAACTTAAATGTAATTTTTTTATTTAAGCACAACCATCCTCATTACATCATGCAAAAAGAAAAGGAAAAAAAAAGATCAAGCAAAGACTGACCAAAATTAATAGGTGTCTGACCTGTTACGCTGTTGAGAGGAGGCAGGGTAGCTGATTCTGATTCACGAAAATCAAAATGTTGCTTAACATACTTCCAAGTATAAGAGTAAAGAAATCAATTTAAGAGTTAGGATTTAATAAACGAGATGGGTAAAATTAAGGGACTGATTGTACAATCCATATTTAACTTCAAAACTTGTTCTATACAAGTAATGGTTTATTCACATGTAAGACTTTCAAACTGAAAGTATTATCCACAAAAATAACGTATCATCGTGAGATCAAACGCGTATGTGTAGCTAAGTCAACAAGTTGATCACGAACTATAAGAAAGCTGAGCTTGAGAGGTGAGTTCAAGCCAAGAAATGGTTGACCCCAGCCCACAAGAAGGCCAAGCTTGAAAGGTCAGAGTTTATGCTATGAAGATTGAGTCAAGTTATAAGAAGGTTGAGTAGCTAACTTGACAAAGCATGGAATGACCGAATATGCACAAGACCACAAAAAAACAAAAATTACACTGATATACATTGATAAATGATAGGGCACTTCTGTTGAATTCATTTCCTCCATTCGATTACAAGTAAAAGGAAGAAAATTAGTTGCGTACTGTCATGAAGCCGCTCAATCTTCAACTTTGGAATATTTGAAGCAAAGACCACATTTAGTTTGGGGAATAGAAAATCAGTTTTCATTTCACTTAAATGAAGTCCTTTAGTAAAAATTTGGCTTTTCTAAAATTCATGCAAATTAGTTGCAAATTCAAATTAAATCAAATAAATGAACGAATTGGCAAACTCTGATCGATATCTCAGATTATTTTTACTTTAATGCATATTTTCATCCGTAATAGCAATTACAGAACTGAAACTCAAAAACCCAAACTGACGGTATATTTATCCATCTTCAATATATGTATTTAAGCAAAGATAGATTAAAAGTTCTATCAATTAACCAAATAATATATATAGCTAAACAGATTATAATTAAATCAAAACCACAAATATATAAATCGAAATTTCTATCAATTAAACAAATGATGGATATAGCTAAACAGCTCGGAGTTAAATATATATATACTTCTCAAATATTTAACTGACTCCTAGGAAATATATATTTCGGACCTGAGCACAGAAACTTGAGAGAGAAATTTGCTTTGGATCCATGACGCTTCTCTGGACAGACAGAAGTGATAGACATTAGCTTCGTATAGTTAAGCGGAAATCCAAGAATTCCAGGCCGGCGAACCAAATAGCAAAGGCAGACGGCAGATCCAGAGGCGAAGGTAATAGAGACGTCGTCGCAGCATTGAGGCGGAGGGATTTCGGAAATGTTATTGGGGAAAGCGGAGATGTAGGGAAGACATGGTGAGAAGGTGACCAACTCGTCGGAGCAAGTGACTGGGGGAGACGGCAGTGGTGGCGTGGAAACGGAGGCACCACAACGGAGTAGGAAGATGTGGATGATGATGAGGATAATATGGATAATCAGGGTTGAAGATTCGTTCATGGCAGAGGGAGAGCTTTGAGAGAGAGAGAGAGAGAGAGTGGAGAGGTGGTTATTCTATTGTTGAGTGTGAAATGGCGGGAAAGACATTTTTATTTTCCATAATTTATTACTTAAGTTATCAAATATAACAATGTCTTCGTTTAATTCCCATATTTTTCAAAATATATTTTTCTCTCTCTTCTTTTTAAATACACATTTTTCATTAAAATAGTATTACACATAAATCAAAAAAATTTTCTTATTTTTGATCCACACATTCTCTATCATCTACTGTTTTAAAATTTATTTTTCCATAAAAATGGGTATCAAATGCACTCAATATCTTTTTATTGATTATAGGTGGAGAAAAACTTACAAGCGGTGAGTGCTAGTAACTTCTGAAATAAAATTCGTCTTTTTTACTAGAAAGAAAAATTAGACTTTGCCATTTGTACACTGATTTTTTATACTTTGGTTGACACTTAGATTGTTGTTAAACGTTAAGGGCTAAAAATCTCACATCGGTTAAATACCGAAATATTGACTAATTTAAAAAGATTTTGGGCTACTCCTCTTAACAATATTGACCTTATTAAGATGGATTATAAATCTTAACATAGTATCAGAGCCCATTAAACTCTAATGAGTGATTTGATTCGATTATAAGTCTCAATTAATGAGCAACGGATTGCAAGATTGGTCTGCTCAAAGGAGATACCATCTTGTGGGGGCATGTTAGGGGATAAAAATTTCACATCTGTTAAATATCGAAATATTGACAAATTTAAAAAGATCTTTGACTACTTCTCTTAACAAAGTTGGCCTTATTAAGATAGACCCTATATCTTAACATTAAATGTCAATTAGGTGAAAAATTGTTTGAAATGTAAAGTGTCCAATTGAGTATCGTCACATGGCAACTTGTAAACCAAAATGTACATATAGTAAGATTCAAGAAAATTGTATCCTATTTGGGAAAATTCAATAAGCGCTCTCTAAAGTTACAGTTAAAAATAAATCTTATTTCAAAACTCTACATTCTATCACATTCCATCATCTATTATCTGTCAAACTTACAAAAAAATACATTGTTACAGTCATAATTGATATTTCACGTAATGAAAATGGTACAATGAGAATTGTGAGAATGTCATTAGATTAAATGGTTAAAGTACATATTTTTTTCCTTGTAACACTTTTATGACGGACGTAACGTAACGGTAATTGACATGTCGAGCGTCATTATGTGGAAGATTCTTTATGGCGTGGTTGTTGATTGGAATTTTCATTATTTTGGGAAACAAAAAATGCTATTGTGAAATTTAAGTTAATTACATATCAGTGGTTGAATTAGAAACTAAATTGAAGTTCAATGATTTAATTAAGGTAAATTAAAGTTTAGTGTCCAATTGAGATTTTATTAGAAGCTCAATGACCGAAGGTGAAATTTAGTCAACTTATTTGTTCTCTTTTTTCCTATCGCATAATTTTGACAATTTTCTTGAAAAATTATAAATAGCATTTGTTTCAAGTTCAATTTTTCGCGACACTTGGGCCATCAACCTTCATTCTTTTTGGCACTTGAATAACAAATTTTGTACACAAAATCTATTCATTTGCACATACACTCTCCTTAGCACCAACCCACAAAAATCGATCAAACCGAACCGAATCGATAGATTTTGATTTTTTCTTAAAATTTTGTTGGATTGGATTTTTTAGAAGAAAATTGGTTCAATTGGGTTGTGTTATGGGTTGATCCATCAAAACCGATAAAACCCTTCCAACCCAACCCGCTACTTAAAAATTGGAAAAAATTTAAAACAAATGTAAAAATTAAAAAGTTAAAACATCACAACCCTAGTTCACAAAATCTTATCATTTCTCTTAAACTTTCTCTTTCTCTCTAGCCCTAAAGCTAAATGTCGCCCTCTCTCATTCTCTCTTGTTCAAGCCTATTCGACCATCGCCAACTTTATTTGCGTCTAGGCTTGATGATAATCGTCAGCCATTATTTGTTTCGGTACTCTTAACTTTAAATTTTAAGTTGATTATTCATTTATTTTTTGTAAATGTAATGTCATAATGTGATAATTTGGGGTTTATTTCAGGGATTATTTTACCTTTAAGTGAGATGATAATTTGTATAATATATGCATTTTCCTTCATGTCCAATTCCAAGTTTTTGTTTGTGGCCGAAGCGTTGTGGTTGATAGGTTTTTTTTGTCGAGTGTATTTTTATAATTTTTAATGTCTAAATCTTCCAATCCACCGAACTTGACCAAGAATTAATTGGGTTGGATTGGGTTGAAACATATAAAAAGCTTAGGTTGGTTTGATTTTAGATCAAACCAACTATGTTGAATCGGTTAAAAAGTAATAATTCATCTTGAATTGTATTTTGACCACATTTTCTATATTTATCAGAGGTGAATAATGCTGATATAGATGCAAAAGCCAAAAGGAGACTATGTCGAGTTGGCTTCGGACTGGGTAAAAAGTAATAATCCATCTCTCTCTCTTTTTTCTTTTATTTATTTATTTACCTTTTTGCAGGTTTTATTGGGTTGAAACATATAAAAAGCTTAGGTTGGTTTGATTTTAGATCAAACCAACTATGTTGAATCGGTTAAAAAGTAATAATTCATCTTGAATTGTATTTTGACCACATTTTCTATATTTATCAGAGGTGAATAATGCTGATATAGATGCAAAAGCCAAAAGGAGACTATGTCGAGTTGGCTTCGGACTGGGTAAAAAGTAATAATCCATCTCTCTCTCTTTTTTCTTTTATTTATTTATTTACCTTTTTGCAGGTTTTTTAATGGTTTTGGTCATTTTTAGTATTTGATTGTATAGTGATGAATGATTAATTATTGTGTTTAAATTTTAATTGTTGTGTTGAAAATTTTCAAAGAAAACCATCGTATTTGTTACGCATCAACAAAATAAGGAAATAATATTAGAAAAAATAACAATTCATCTTGAATTGTATTTTGACAATATTTTCGATATCTATCAAAGGTGAATAATGTTGATATAGATGCAAAAGCCAAAAGGAGACTATAAACATTGACAGGTTACAGTGTAGAAAAATGTAGAGCTCTTGCTTTTTTGGAAGGCATATGATTTATTTAAAAAAGAAATTTTTAAATTTTTTTTAAATTTATTGAGTTTAATTTCACAAAATAATAATAACAATATGAAAATCAGGAAATTTTACCTTTTTATCATTAAATTTTATGATATTATTTGTAGGTTGAATTAACATTTTATTATGTTGCTAGATTAATCAATTACATTTTTATTCCATATTTGATATTTTAAAGCTTTCATTATATGTGTGTGTGTGTACACACATCTATGTACACGTATACGTATGTACATATATGTATATATACATACATACGTAATGTATGTATGTATGTAGATACATACTATATGTATGTATGTAATACATACATACATACATACATACATATGTGTGTGTGTGTAATTTTGATTATTAATTATTTAATGAATGTCTTAAAATTTTATTTTTTCAAATTTTTATTTATTTATTTATTTATTTTTTATTATATGAGAATAAGAAGGGGAAGGAAAATGGGAATTATGAGAACTAACATCTCATATGTGAGAATCTCACGCCAAATACATGTGAATTCTATTTCAAAAAAAAAGTCTTCAAAAGTATATAAAAATTGTAAAATGAAAATCCATAGAAGTCTAAGAAAAACTTCCGCTAATTTCATAAAAATCTTTAAAATATCCACGAAATCCATAAAAGTCATCACTTAAAAAACATCCATCAAAGTTTTCAAAAATCCAAATTGAATACGCCCCCCTCAACTTCTAATTTAAACCACGAAATGTTCTATTCAATTAAAATGTTACAAACAAGTTCTATACTGTTATAATGATAAGTAGGGATGGCTCGGCTCGGCCAATTAACCCACAAGCTTGGCTCGTGGCACGAGCTCGTGAGCTCATGAGCCACGAGCTCATGGGCCGAGCAAAGCCGAGTCCACGAGCCACTCTCGAGCTAGTAATTTTTTTAACTTTTTGTAAATTTGCACATTTTTTACGAGCCCACAGCTCGGCTTGCGGGCTCGTGAACTTTGGCTCGTGGCAAACGGCCCATGAGTCGCTCGTGGGATTGAGCCCCCTGCTCGGCTCAGGCTCGGGCTTATCGTCATTTGACGAGCTCGAGTGGCCCACGATTGACGAGCTCGAACGATCCACGAACCAAGTTTTAACGAGTCGAGTGTTGGCTTGACCCTTTTGACATCTCTAATGATAAGTAATAATTATATCTTAATAAATCTAGTTGTTGTAATATCGATTAAAAAAAACACACACACACACACACATTATTGCAACATCGAGCACATTCGTAAAACTCAACAAAAATAATGTAAATTTTGCTCTCGTTTCTCGTTTCCATAAACATTTTATGAAATTCAGTATTCAACATGTAGAAAAAAATCTTTTTGAAATTATTATATTTATTAAATCATGGTCAACTTTATTATATTTATTAAATCTTTCCAAGAACAAGTATAAAGTATGCATGATATTGCACATTGGAATATAATAAGACAATAAGGAGTTACAATATCACACGCGTTACATAATAAATAAATAAATAAATAAAAATTAAAAAAAAATGCATATCTCAAAATAAAAACCTAGCCCTCATTTTTTATGGGGACTAAAATCTATTTTAATGGTTGAAAAGTTATGGATCTCATGAAATGTGGTTAAAATTAATTGTTAACTTTGACTTACATTAGTATTTGAATTTTAATTCCTACCAAACAGCGGCTTAATATTAAACGAAAGCCGAATGTCCAGGGTAGATCCAAGGGGGCTAAGCCAAATCTAGCCACGGCCCAATCCATTTTGGATTTTTTTTTTCTATTTTTAAATCTAGCTCATGTCCAAATTTCCAAGCAAGGGAGAATCAAGCATCGAAGTTCAGTTAGGGCAGAGGTTGACTAATGATCGTTGACCATTGGACGTCGACAATCAATTATCGTAATAGCCTGATCGTTTATTAAAATTTGATTAAATAATATTA